TCGTCGAAGGCGAGGCCATGGCCATCCGAGACGAGACGCGTAAGCACCTCGCAGGCGCCAGGTAGTATGCGAGACAGGGCATCTTTGAAATTCGGAACAACACAGATGCCAGAGATACGAAAGAACCCAGTTCTGGTGGTAGAGGAAGAAAGAATAAGCGAGAAAGATGTGGTGAGTGATTTGGACGTACGATAGCGAGAGAAGAAGACGGCGAATCGCTGAGTGCAACCACAATTTCTTCAGGAATAAAAAACCTTTTGTTGTTCGTTGTAGGGATAGAGGCAAGGAACTGTAACAAGTTCAAATTACTTACGTTATGGTCAGCTCATAAACTCACTTCTATAAATCCTACTGATTACTGCTTTGGAATACTTTATTTAAGAAACACATTGCTGCAGAGACCGAGGTTATTACGTTACAAAGAATTAGTTCATCAAAGGGCGGCAGCGTCTTTTGAAAAATACGACGTCGCTTAGAAAAATTCATACAAATGCCTTCACAGTCATCTATTCATATAAATAATAATGTCTTATACCTAATTGATCTTGAGAGTTTGGTTACTGTCGCTACTTTTTTTTTAGAAGCGTTCGAAATTTGGTGTTACAGGCCACTGATGAGGATACTGAGGATAGAGAAAGTTAGGAATGATGAGATATTAGAAAGAATAGGAGAACAGAGCTCGTTATGGAAGTTAATAAAGCATGAAGATCTAGTCAGAGACATATAGGCAAAAACAGAAATAGAGGTATACCTAGATTAGATTACTGTGCGCAAATAGTTAAGGGTGTGGGTTGTTTTATTTTTGGGGAGATGCGAATATTAACTCAGCATAATAAGGATACCGTGGATAGAGAAGGTTAGAAATGAAGAGGTATTAGAAAGAATAAGTGAACAGATAGGCAAAATAGGTTGAGGATATATTAGAGGCAGAAACAGGGGTTGAGAGGAGTGTTCGCAATTAGTTAAGGAGGTGCGTTATTCTAGATTAGGGGAAATGCGAAGATTAGCTCAGGATAGGAAATAGTGGAGGTGCGTATCCAATCAGTCTTAGGACTGACGACCTTATGATGATGACTATTGTACCAGATGAAGAAAACTCGGTATTGGTATAGTGTGTGATCTATGGGGTACATTTAGAGTATTATATATGTGCTCTGCGGTAAGAAATACACTACGGGGTTCATGTTTACTTATCTAATTAGCGATAATTAATACCTTTCCTTCCGATATATCTACTTATATTTATGAAGACAAAAAATATACACGGCCGAAAAGTTTTGACATAAACAAGTGATGATATTACTGATTGCTGATATTGATACTGATACTAATGATACTGATAATTAAAATAATAAGCCAGTATCTTTTTTTACGCTTCGCCCCGGTCATTCCTCCACACTTCTCCTGGCTATAACACCTCAGCGGGTGGTGTAAGCAGGTACACAGCACTGAACAATAGCTGCCTAATATTGGTAAAACCCAAATAATTCAATAGTTCAATGCAGCTGAGATAGCGAGGATGCCGAGGATGGTATTTATGACATTCTACGAAGTCTTTACATCAGGTAACAAATATATAAAATAGAAGTAGTATTAGGTATTAACAGTTACTTTAGCACAATTCTCAGAGAAGCGGGTGATGTTTTCAGTTAGATGTGATTGAAAAGATATCTTCCATAAGTTCGTTACTTAATCTAACCATATTACGACATAAGATGTCTGCATGTACAGGTTTTAGGGCGAGCAACTAGGTTTATATACAGGTATGCAAGTCAAAAGGTTTATCGAAAATAAAAGTTGCACTATTTTGTCGGTCTTTTTTGGTTTTATGCCACACGAATAAAAATGCAAAACTTCGTAAACACGTGGAAGAAAATCACCCGCTTCTCTGATAAAATTGTTCCAAACTAACTGAACTCTCAGAACCTTTCAAACAGTCGTAACATCCCTAAAAAGCTTTATTGTTGATATTAAAAGATGGTTGAAAGTAAGATGATGCCGCTCTTTCACTGCATGTAATAGAATATCCATATGTTCGGTTCTCAATTTGCTACTAGTGTTATGGGAAGTTTCCCTGTAGAGAGTTTATTAATGATAATGATTTTGATATGGCTTCCGCGGCAAACTTTTGTTGTTATAGTCTTGTTGTTGCTCATTTTACTGAATTACAGTTTGCATTTGATTGATAAAAACTTTTCTAAAAATGACCGACGACTTGTATGTATAACTGAAGTCCAGGAAAATAAATCGTTAAGGCAAATAGTACAAAAGTTCTAATTGTTCCAATTTACACTCATAGCTTTAGGCAATAAATAGGTTACTCTAGATCAGAGTTTCTTATCTTTTTGCAGTCGCGGATTACTTGCATAATTTCATAAATCCCAGTAACCCTTTTCGAATAAGACTGCAAAAAAGAATACAAGGAAGGGAAAGTAGGTCATATTCATCCACGTGTGAATTGCTTCGCCTCTTCTTGGGTGATAATTTCCACACGGGGATGTTCAAATTCTGTTTCCTAGTTAGTAGGTAGTTGCTGAGCGGCATGGCCTAGAGGTTTTTGACTATTGCTTAGCATTCGGGAGGACGCTGGTTCGATTCCGGGTCAGTCTACCTTGGTCAAAATTTTTCTATGGTTTCCTTGGATCACTTAGGCAAATGCTGGGCTAGTAATATTCCACAGATAATCTTTCATTCTCTTCTGTCTTCATTTCGTCGATTTCACCTTTCTTACCCGAACCACCACCCACCCATTCCCACGATTCCTGAAAGGAGGCTGAAGAGGGCCTTCCGCTCTACTTTCTGGCGTAGTTCGGTGGGATTGCCCGCTAAGTAACATTAGTGGCTAGTGGAAATGAGACACCCAAAAGTTTTTTTTTAGTAGGTAGGTAATTCAATCCCTTACCCATTCGGCATCGTACTTTCGGTAGGATTTTGTATCGAAGAAAGTATTGCATCTACTCTCAGATGTAAATCACCTCCAATCGAAAATAATTAGTATTAATTATTAATCCTCTGAATGTAAATTTCTAATATTTGAAGCGTTTTCCTTGGATAAGTATTATGTTTTTCACGTTATATGTATTTTAGTTCGGTATTTAAAGAAATAGAAACATTTTTGAATGTAAAAGACCTTAGGTAATTGACTATTATGTAAGTGTGAATGGTAAATAGAAATATAAGTTGGCATTTTAAATAGGGAAGCAACATAGCCGATATTAAACAAAAAGGAATTTGGAACGTACATTCCGGTGATTTAGACCTCCGACATTTTATATATTTTGTACTTTCCACAAAATAAAACAATCTGTTAAAAACGTTAAATGTTTGTACACATTTCATAATTATACTAAAAATTAATAAAACAATGTACCTACTTTTCAATGACAATAATTATTTGCATGTTACTTATTTCGAGACGGTAATTTTTCATTCGCCGTGTAACATGTTTGTATGTATACTTCATACATATATAGATTAAGTGTCCAAAATCGCAAACCGCGCAAAAAAATGAACTAATTGACTCATCTGCGTACGCGAAACAGTCGTAAACATGTTTGCAATTAAACTGAGAACTGATAAAAATAAATACTCTCGCATAAATGTACTCGCGTTAAATCTCGTTCTTGAATCTTGATTCTAATAAAAGTATGTTTTCGAATCCCATTTAATTCTTTAAATACTTGTGTGTCTGTCTATGCTCAATTGCAGAAGAATCTGAACTTTTGGTAATTGTTCTGTTAGAGATGAAAAGAATTCATCATAATAAGGGAAGCACATTGTATAGTTTAGAAATAAATATGAAAAAGGCGAAATTCCCAGAAAATTAGGAGAAAGCTGGATATTCAAATGAACTTTTATTCTGGTTTTGTCCCCCCCCCCCCAACGGAGAAAATAGCCTTTTTCCTACCACGATGGTTGGTCCCTTTTGCTTACTGCAATGTGGATCCAAAATAATGTATTTTTGGTTGATTAAGTTAACTATGGGTTAGGCTTGGTTGTGTTACTTCACTAATTTCTATAATGTTTTAAATTTTAAATTTATATACATAAGAGTTCGGAATTGGATTAATATAAAATTAGTTATCATCATCATAAGTTCGTCAGTCCTAAGACTGATTGGACACGCATCTCCACTCTCTAAAACTAGAACAATCCACATCCTTAACTATTTGCAAACAGTAATATAATTTAGGTCTACCCCTCCTAACTCCTGCTTCTGCCTCTGACTAGACCTTCATGCCTGAGAAGGTGTCCTATCAACCTACCTCGCCCATTTCTTGTTGACTTCCATAGAGTCCTCTGTTCTCCTATTCTTTCCAATATCTCTTCATTTCTAACCTTCTCTGTCCACGGTATCATCATTCTCCTGTAACCACATTTCGAACGTTATTATAGTTATATCACTGATCATTTTCTGATTCGACATTCTTTTAGCAGATTGATATTTCTGTGGCTTGGAGCTAAAAGGGTCAGTGTCAAAATCTTCACACTTAATTGGTTACCACTTTATCGTTTATGGATCGGCTTAAATTTGACATTGGACGTTTCAGCATTTGAAGAAGTACAAGAACATGAATCTAATGCAATGGTTGAAAATATTGACATTGGTCCTTTTAGCTCATTTTATGGTCGGTAGTCATGATCCTTTGATTTGCTACAATTGAAACTTTTACCTCCAGATAATTATGCACTGCACCATTGCTAGCCACCTAGCGAGTAAGTCGCATATAAAATCCTGCCTATTTAAGTAATAATACTCCTCATTGATGGAAATCGATAAAAAAAATTTTTTGAACAGCTTTTATTTTTCACAAAAACTGTAAATGTGCATTTCGTCGATGTGAAAACTGAAGTGCATTCCGTCCCTGCCCCATGAGCTCATTGTGATACTCGAACCGGCTGAGTTCCGTGAGCTCCTCCAGCTCTCAACTTTGGCGACGCATTCTCTTCTCGCACAAGTGCCCTGACTCGTTTCGCGCTGCAGCCACATCCACAGCATATGCCACGCCACAAGCAGAACACCCAGCAGTCGAGCGTCTGTAGTGTTGTGATTCGGAACGATCCGTACGTCTGTCTGTACGCTGATTCTGTTCTCTCGTCTTACTTTCTCTGAAACGTTGCGTACCGTGCGCATACCCTAAGTAGGTACGTACTTTTTTTCGATTGAACATAATCGCCACAAACTTCTGCATACCTTCCTACCTGCCTGCTGCTCGCTATCCATCCCGTTAAACGAGTAGTTTCGTACGTCTTCCTCATTCGATTACAATTACGAAAATAGTCTTGACGATCTATCTCGTCGTGTCAAGTCAGTTCGTTGTTGTGTTGTTATTATTATTATTATAGTATTAATCCGATGGGCGCCAAGAACACTCGACGACCTAGACAACAACAACAACGTCTGTGTTGTAGTCTTTCCGTGGCCGGATAAGCAGCGACCAAAACGTGCGTTTTACTGCTACGGTAACGTCTGCACACGCATTAATTTGTGCGTGCGTACGTGCATGGAGAAATACAAGCGGCACGTCCTTCTCTGTCGCGACTGACTCGGCTGCTGGACTAGGGACGAAGGTTTTGCGGTTCGTGCGTAGTGTGCGATCTTTTTTGTGGTTATTATTAATACAATAAAACGACGGACATAGGCAGGCATGTTGCTGATGCTGGTCGGGAAATAGTGCTGTTGCATCTGGTGACGATGTATTCGGTGTGAGCCAAGGAACTTGACTTGTTTTATGCCAAAATGCTGGACTCCGTGCCAGTTGTTATTGGAGAAAGTGAGTAATGTGGAGTATTCTTATTATTATTATTTTAAATGCAGCTTTGGCTCTCTGATACATGAGGCCGATATGCACTGTGGTCGCTTGGCTCGTCCGTCAGCCCTGCTATTTAGATGATGGACAGGGCAGGCGCCTGTTTGACGCCTCCAGGGAATACTCGCATACATTCGGTACACACAATTTAGTTTTTCTGTTAGCTTTATCATCTCGAATGACAGATATCTGGCAGAGCTCTGTATCAGTGTTTCTCAAACTTTCGACATCCCTTTATAATGAATAACACTAATGTCTAAAAATAATAATATATAATAATTTATACTTGGTATAATTATCAAAATTAAAGGGGTTTTGGTATTAACATTAAGAAGTAATGAAGTTATTTTTTTACAATTGTTAGGTCTAACGCAGCGAAAGCTCGTCCCCCGCTAAACTCCTCCAGGAGCCAGGGGGTACGCATACCACACTTACAATAGGTACCCTTTTAGATTTACAAAGATATTAATCTGATCTCATAAACTTTGTAATTATATCCGGAAAAATCTGGAAATGTGGATGAATACAAATTTTTTTGGGGTGATGAAATCAGTCTGTAATTGTGGAAATCCAGTAGATTTAGCAATTGAAGTGAAGTTTGCTGTTCTAAAATCCTCCCTCTGCGTATAAAAAACCGTGACCCCAGGTCAGGCACCTCTCCCCCCTATTCAAGTTACGTAATTTACGCTCAGTCTCTTATTGGAATTGGCAAATTAATTGAACAACCAACTTTTACGGTCCCCCCTCTCATTACTTGCGTGATCAAACGCTTCGTGGGTATGATAAATTGCTCTATAAACATAAAGAAGTATGTCCCGCGTAAAAAGTGTAAATAAAGTGCGTACCTCGCATGCATACGACAATATTTCATTTTCGTGGACGTTTCAGTGGACTGCAGGGCAATCTTTTCTGTTTTATGGCACCTGTAACTGTTGTTTTTATGGGAAGTACTGAATTTTTTATTCCTGTAATATGACATTGTATATACTATATATACATATATTTGATAATGAAAATGACCTTAGTGGTTTTCTTGGTTTGTTTATTTTAACATGAATGTAAAGGGGGGGGGGAGTGTTCTTACGACTCGAGTTTAATTGACCAACCGAGAGAGAATAGACAGTACTTTGTTGATCAACTTTTTAGTTTGGCTTGGTAAATGCATTAGTTTATCACAGTTATTTGTAATTTTTAATTCAAGGGGTAGTTAAGGCTTAGAGGATGACCCTCACCCCCGAAGGGGGGGGAGGATCGGAAGAGGAGGTCTCCCCCATCTCTGTACTATAAAAAGTTATGGGGGTCAGATGACGGTCCCCACCCCCGAAGGGGGGATCGAAAGAGGGTGGTCACCTGAGTACAACCCCATAAAAAAATTGCGTCGATCTCACCCCCATAAAGGGTTGAAAGTTGATTATTTTGACAATTTTCATACACTATAATTCAAATAAAATTCAATAAAAAAAATATTTTCAACCGGGTGGAGGTGGGGGATCGAAAGAGGGTGGTCACTTGAAGAAAACCCGATAACATAAGTTAACCTAGCCTATTGATAAAGATATTTAAATGATGTTTATATAACTTTCTCAATATTTTTATGTATTTTTCTATTAGTTTTATCTTTGAATATTGTTTAAGAATGACTGTATAAATATTTACATGCCTAGAAATGTATAAAAATTAACATGTTTATTAATTTTGAACCCCTATAACTTTTTGTGGGGGTGAGACCGCCACGAACTTTTTATGGTACAGTGGTGGGGGAGACCTCTTTCGACCCGGCCCCCTCCCAACCTCCGCCCCCTTTGGGAGTGGGAGCCATCATCTAGACCTTTACCCAAGGGGTTTTAATCCCTGAATGTTCTATCGATTTGAATCTTTGAAGTCCGTCCTTGGGCGTTGAAGGGATAAAAAACTGTAAGAAAGGGCTTTAGGATTAGGGCTTGAAGCTTCTTTAGCAAGGCTTCGTCCAGTTCTGTACCGTATTTTGAATTTAAAAATTTGGAAAAATATAGGAACCGATGTGGATTTTTCTTTTACTTACGTATCGAAAATACTTAATTAATTGTAACTTATTTTGCAGATGTTATTTTTAATCTTTAGTGTGACTGTTATTTAATTTGTGCTGAAATACATGCAGTGGTTGTTATCATCTATGTACTTATGTATTATTGCATATAGCATAACAATTCTGATTGAAATGGAAAAATCGTTCGCATTTTTGACAAGACTGCGTTAAGAGCGTTATGAAACAGTAGATTACACGCAACGTATGTTACATATATATTTAATAAAATTTGTACCGTTCGTGTGTGTGCGCCAAAAAGTATGCATAGGTCAAGGTTACTTGGAAAAACATGTAATTAATCAATAAATTGCCTAACTACGTGTAATTTGATAGATTACCCAGTTAAAGATAAATAATTTGGTTTATACTGCAAAATACCTAATACGTATAGTTTTGTGAAGACCAGAAAATAAATTAGAATAATTTAATCGTTAATGAGGGGCCCCCCCAACATTTGTATCTTTACTTTAGTTTACTCGTTAATTGCAAATTTACAAAAGTGTAAGTAAAATATCAGACAATGTGTGACATGTTTTTGATATTAAGTAGAGATGCATCGGACAGTGATTTTGCCGGCTACCGGATAACCGGGTGCCAGTTAATGGTTCATGTCTTCATTCTGAAAGGTTTCCGTTAAAAATCACCCTTGTCAATGCGACGTAGTGTTTTATTACTGGTGTTGGCGTACCCACCGTTATTATCCGGTTACCGCCCGGACCCTAAAAAAGTCCGGATAAGCCGTGTACTCGGCCCATCTCAACTCCTTATAAACATTAGCTGCATCTGATTAACATTCAGGAAATGAATTTGGGGATGGGTATGGCATAAAACTGTATATGTCTACAATTCATCAGGAAGCATCCCCTCAATCGGTACCATCCGGAATACAGAGAAAACGAACTACACCTAATAAACTTTTTAGTTTTAGCCTACTACTTTCTGAGATAGGTTAGCAGGACACCTTTTCAGCCATGAAGGTCTAGTCAGAAACATATTAGAGACAGAAACGGAAGTTAGGAGGGGTAGAGACAAGCCCAGATTAGATTACTGTTCGCAAATAGTTAAGGATGTGAGTTGTTCTAGTTTCTAGGGAAATGCGAAGATTAGCTCAGGATAGGAAGGAGTGGAGGTACGTGTCCAACCAGTCTTAGGACTGACGACCTTATGATTATGTTCGACAAAGTTCGGCTGAAGCAGTTCTGCAAAAAGTCTAAAGTTAAACCAAAGACCAGAAAATATTTAAGGAAATCCAGGCGCGATTTATCAGAATCGGGGGACGTAGTTTTGGATGATTCCTCAAGCGCTAATAAAATTTATGTTTACGTTCCTGTTCCGCATCATCATCATAAGGTCGTCAGTCCTATGAATATTTGGAGACGCACCTCTACTATTTCCCATCCTAAGCTAATCTTCGCATTTCCCTAAAACTAGAACATCCCATTTTTGTTCCCCTTATTGAATAATAAATTTTTATTTTTTTTAATAAAGAAACTAATCAATTTTTTAAAAGGTGGCCCAACTCATAACTTTACCCTAATCTTTCACTTCCCTTATGTCATTCGTCTTTCTTTCCAATGGAAAGGTTAGCCCAGGATAAGAAAAACCGGAGGTGCTTGTCCAACCGGTATTCAGAATATTTAAAAATTCATTCTCAATTTTTATTAACTATAAGTTACCTCAAATAATGGCTTTACGCACCAATGCACCAAAGCCAAATTTCCCGGCTTCGATTTCCGGTGAGGGTGTGACAGCAGCGACAAATTTTTCCTAACTAATTTGCGGTAATTTGTAGTTGATAAAATTTGAGAATGAATTTTCAAATTAAATATTCAATGTTAACTACCAGAAATTTCGAAGTGTTTCAATTAGTATTTCGTAGTTTGGTCTTCAGAATGAAGAACTCGCGATGATGTACTGTTTACAACATAAATTGAATCAAATGGCGCACATGTTTTACAGATAACAAAAGCAAGAAAAATGTAAAAAGGTAAAAATGCTCAAATCCAGTCAACTACCATTACAATTAGTCTAAACGCGCCTTTAAATAACATTTCATTGTGTTGTCAATTAACTGTTGGTTGCCTGGAAAGAAACTCCCTTTTGAAAAAATGTTCGTATTTATAGATTAAAAGCATTAATAAATAATTAAAAACATTATCGTATCGTATTGTTAATAGTTTATTACGAATTATGTAAATTAAATTAGTGCTGTACCTTTCTGGGTAAGTAATAAAATATGCAAAATATGCAAGTACGTAAATCGAATGGGAGGCGTCCACCATTGAGACACTCGATTAATGCAGACATTGTACCCAACATTTATGTACCTCATGGACCAAACGCTGGTTATATGAATTGGTTTTGTTTATGGTATTCTGTTCAAGTAATCGTCCAACAAACAAAACTTTATTTAGAAACATTGTATGTTATTATCAGTATCTTATAAAGAAACTAAACTCGGGAAATTTGGTCTGGATACTCTGTATATGAGGGTTCTTTCTGTCTAACCCTCCCATAAATTAGTTTGTGAATTTTAAACGCGCTCTTCATTATTTTAATTTTTGGTCTTAATTCTTATTATTTTCAGACTTTTCATTTGCTAAACGCACTTGTTATAATAAATTAAGTTAAATAAATGAGATATTTTTAATAGGCTTCCAGCGGCATTATAACGTAGGGCATCTTCTTCCATTAATGTTCAGATAATCTTCTTGTAAGGATTAGAAAAAAAACAGATTTTTTTTAAACATACATGTACGAAATGTTAAACGTTTTAAAAAGAGTTGTGTAGCATATTGGCGTCATTAACTAGATCGTGTTTTTAATAGTGTTTTTTAAAAACCGGTGTTTGAAACACTTTTAAACACGTCAAGCATGTTTTCTTTATATCTATCTACCA